AGAAGATGGCCATGTGAAGACAGAGGCAGAGATCCAACTAATGCTGTCACAGCCAAGGAAGTCCCCTACCCTGGAGCCTTGAAGGGAAAGTGGCCCTGCTGACACCTTGACTTTGGCCTCTGTGAAAGAATAAATTTCTGTTGTTTTGTTACAAATTTGTCAGGGCAGCCACAGGAAACTAATACTTTGGTGCTAGAATTAAGGCTTGATCACTTTCACCTGAGGCTCTTGGTATGGTTGGCAATTCTAAAAAGAATTCTAAGATGACCCCCAAGGACCCCTGCCCTGTATGAACAGGACCTGGAAATATGGGATATCACTCTTGCTATAGTGTTACATTATCTGGCAGAAAGGATTTTGATGGTGCTAGCTGACCTTATGACAGAAATTCTCCTGGGTGGGTCAGAACTGATCAGGTGAGCCCTTCCTTCAAAGAGATGGTACCCTCCTGGCAAAAGGGATTTGAAGGATGAGAAAGATCCATCATGGGAGATAGAGTAACTTTTCCAGTGTGGAAGTCCAGCAGACATCAGTTTAACCAAATGATCCAGGAAGACATCAGCGTAAGACAAGACACATCGACATCATGAAAGCCTTGGTATGATACTCTGAAAAGGATGCAACATCCCTTTTGTATTTCTGTCAAAAATGCATAATAACCTAAGACAGGCACAGTCACAGGGGGGCCATCAGGTGAGAAATTGGGGATCAACAGAGGTGAGGCTTAGAACCTCACCCCCCATTTTGAAAGAAATCTTCTGCATCCGTGGATGTTTTTTTTGCCCTTGTCTAGCTTGGATTAATACTTAGTCCATAGGCACACACCTGATCATCTACATTTGCCCTCTTACAGCACTAAATTATGTTTTCTACCTTTATCTTGCATCTACCTACCACTTCAGCATTTTATTAAAAAATAATAATAATAAGGGAGAAACATGGGATTCACATATAAATCATGTATAAAAATCAAACGAATAATCATATCTGACTTGATTATTTATAGTTCATGATGCATGATCAAAACCGAAAGTTTCTGTGATATGACTGCCCTTGCACTGTTCACCATGTAAGAACTTAATTGTTATGCTTCAGAAGATTGGAGACTGTTAAGATATAGGCTTGGGGTTGATTAATGACTGTGCATTGAGTCCCCTATACAGAATTTTACTGTTGTTAACAACCATTTGATCAATAAATATGAGAGATGCCCTCTCAAAAAAAAAAAATGCCTAATAACCCCATTCTAATTAGACAAGATAGAAGAATGGTTATAGACCAGAGGAGACTGAGGAGAAATAACAAAGGGCCATGTGGGATCCCAAAGCAGAAAAAAAAGGCATTAGCGAAAATACTGGTGAAACCTGAATGAGCCTGTAGTTTGGCTATACAGGGACCAAGGGCAGGGCCCCCCAAGATGTGCCATTGTGACATGGAGATTATTTTGAGGCCCAAAAGATTCAGGAGGGTACTTTGACCTCCCACCCCTGACAGCTGCAGGAAAAGAATTTACATAGAAGACCTGCTCCAGGAGAGCTACCAGAGAGAGAGCTACATTATAATGTAAACTAGGCGTGGTAAACAGGCAGGGATATGGCCAAGTCTGTTAAAATTTCTCTCTGTGCTCCACGATTTGTCAAACATTCGCTCTTTTCATATTCCCGTGAATTATATCCCTTTTCCTGTGAAGTCTGACCCCTACCTACCCACTTCTCCTTGACTCAGGATGACACGTATCTCACTCTCCATGTCTATGGCTTCCTCACACATGTGTAATTTTTTAGACTTTGTTTTTTTCTCCTGTTGATTTGTCTCATTTCAGTTTGATTCTTAGATTAGCTAGAAGAATCTGGAGGGGCAGAGGAAATTTCTTCCTCCCCAACAACTAATAATAATATGCCAATGTTGATAACCTGTTCTTGCAGTGTGAGGGATGTAAGGAATTCTGCTATATTTTTTGCAACTTTCCTTTAAGTATAAAATTAGTTCAAAATAAAAAGATTAAAACAAAAGGAAATGGTTGAGTAAACTATGATTTAGCCATAAGGCAGATTTTGATGCCAAGATAAGGCAAGGGATAAATATCCAAATGTAATGTGAAAGAACAATTATAAGGAAATATGCAGTTAACAGAGGCTGCCTCAGGGCCACAAGATTATAGACTTTTCTCCCACACTTCTTTATACTTTACAATAAATATGCACTACTTTTGATAACTGGGCAGGAAGTTTACAGAAATCCCAAAGAGTTGCTTGGGGATACTGGAGCATATAATTAATCACATTGTGTTCCAGAAGAGGTTTTAAAGGTAGAGAGGGCTGTATTAAGGTGGGCAGAGAGGAGGGTTGGTTCCCTGCACCTCAGGGTGAACAGGAGGCAGGAGGTTGAAGCTGGTGCTGCAAAGGATAAAGGTCTGGGGCTGTGTCTAGCTGCTCTAGACAAGAATGGCTGGACCCAAGACTGAGGCCTGATAGAACAGAACGAGTCTTAGATGCGGAAACAGCTAAGAGTTCTCAGAGAATATCGGTACATGACCACAGAGTCCTTTAAAATTCCTGGAACAACCTCAATTTCTAGCCATGTCTCCTGCTCTTTCCTCATCAGCCACTCTGGCCTAGGCTGACCACCCTGCCCCAGATGATACAGCTTTGTGCCCATATTCATACAACTTCCCTCGCCAGGACCCCTCTCCCCTCCTCCTTCATAGCTTTCTCAAAACGTGGCTCAATTCCACCTCTAGGACACCTTCCCAGGCCACTCCTGCCCCGAATCGCCTGGCCTAAATGATCTTGTCTGTTCCAATCAGGGGCATGTAACCGATGCCATCAAACAGCACATAACTTTGCACACACACTCAGCGCATCCCACATGTATTTTACAACCATCTTCAGAGCACAGAGCAGAAGGGTGTGCACTGGCGTAGCCTCTCCCATCCATTCCTCCGTTCATCCTGCAGTGAATGAATCCTGTTGTGAGAATTCATTTACCAAGTCTCTTGTACTATGCCCAAACTCTTGATGCTAGTTCTACTTGTCTTATGGTTGTAACTTAAACAATAACTGAAATGCAAGGGCAGAAAGAAAGTTGGGATTTCTATAGAATGTAAATTAACTGAGCTGGAACAGCAATTCTTAAGTTGGGGGTCTGGTAACACCTGGGGTCAGGAGTTCTGTCAGGTAAAAACTACTTTTATTATAATATTAAGATGTGAAGGGCTTTATCACTCTCATTTTTCAGAGGCTACATTAAGTGTGATGAATATAGTAGCTTCGAGTTTTTAAAAGATTTCCAAAGTGGAAGTTTAGGGTATAAATATGAGTGTTTTCAGAGATAATTCAGTTTGTTCTCAGGACTTCAACCAGCAAACTTAAGTCATACCTATTATCATCTAATAAATCGTTATTCTGAAATCCTTAGGATTAGCAATAATGTAAAAACAATGCCATTCCTGTCTTTTTATTTTAGAAAATAGTATTTTTCATGAAAATATGCTTTTCTGTTAACATGTAATGAGCTTATTTTAATTGTTCAAATGAGAAACTACACCGAAAGTTTTTTAAATTTTTAACATGGCAAATACACACATATCTGGCATGTAAAAAAAAGACAGTATTAAGGAATCCTAGGATCAAAAAGTTCAATAACTGCTCATCCAGAAAGCGTGTCACAAGTGAGAAAAATTAAACTAGGTGTGTGATTACAAAAGTAGAATTCTGCATGTGGACTGGTCTACAAACGTCTTTTCAGTTCTTTCTGTTTCTTAATGAAAGCTTGTATATATATCCTTTAACCCAGCAATCCCACTTCTGAGAATTTCTCCTACAGTCTTAATTACACACATAGGACCATTTGTACAAAGTTATTCACTGCAGCAGTGCACAGAAAGATAAGATACTGGAAACAACCCAGGTTAGGGGAGAGAGGGAAGTGACATACATTAGGAAAAAAATTTCTGCACTTGCGTATTTTGGAATACTGTGCAAAATAATGGCAAAAGCTTTCTATGCACCCATTTAGGGAGAACTGACAATACAGTAACTAGGTGACAACAGCAAGGTGCCAAACAATGTGTCTAAAACGGTAGCTTGTAAAAATGGGGGCCAGGGGTAAGATGTTTCACAGAGTATGTGTGTGTGTGTGTGTGTGTGTGTGTGTGTAACTTTTTAACTTTCTGATTTTTAACTATGTGACTATATAGCCTAGTGAAAATAAATCTAAAAAATAAAGGGAACATGAAATCACAGTTAATACATGTAGTTGTGATTTTTACCTTCAATTTGCAAGTCTAATTAGGGGACCTAGCAAGACCGAAAGAAAAGGCCTCTGCCCTAAATCAAAGTGTTGGTGAGTAAATACATGCACATATTTTTAAGGTAAAACAAAATTGTTTAAAACATGGATTTTTTTCCCCCCAACTTTTAGCTGACTTTTTTATTAACTACTAATGAGCCTCTAGAAACCCAATTGGTAATAAATTCAGGGCAGTCACCTTCTCATTCCACGAAACCCTAGGACTCTCCTGGGCCTATAACTGGAGGAAGGATAGGAGGCTGAGAACAGACACCGTGAGTTTCCAAGGTAGGGAATTTAGTTTCCCATAGCTGGGTGTACCAGGCTCTCTCTCTGTGGCCACCCTCCCTCCTCCTTTTGTGGAGGTCCCAGAGGGGACTCTGTCTCTGGACATGATCTGGGCCCAACAAGGGCTTGCCTCTGGGAAGCTCGAAGGCCACAGTAAGGGTGGGGACCAGGAGGCTGGGTTTCAGAGACCTTGTGGTGAAGCTGTCCTGCTTGCTCGCTGGGAGGCACGAGGCCCCTGGCTGGCAGCAGACTCTGGACTCCTTATCTGCTGGCATTTGGACAGCCCACCAGCCTCAAGGTCAGTAATGTCACACTGCAGACATGTAGTAAGTCCTGGCGGAGCCCCTGCAGCACAGCCCTTCATCACCCACTCCCCACTGTGTGTCCCGGGCGAATCTGGGATGAGGAAGTATAGCACTCACCTTCTACCCAAATCAGAAAAGCACCCTACTCCCCTGAAATATGCACAGGGACAACTGGCTCCTCCCTCTTCACGTTTTCAAGGAGAAGATCAGCATTATCAGCAATTTCATTGACACACTTAGAAATAAAATTAGAACCTTTCTTTGCTCTTCTCCATCAAGGCACTTGGCTTAGCACACAGTGTGAGTTGGGAATACCCATTAACCTCTCCAGATCTGGTTTCTTTAGTTGCAAAACAAAAGAACTAGATTTGAAGATACCCAAAGTCCTTCCAGTTCAACATTCTATCATCTGTGGTTCTGCATAACGCCGAAGTGTTATTTTCTTCAGGCATCAAGAGTGAACACGCTGAGTTATTTTGGCAGAGCGGGGAGAAGGTCCCGATTTTCAGACACAATCTATTCACAGCACTACTACTTATATCCCAAGATCTTGTAAATACTGGACATGGACTGAGGTTCCTCCTGGAATAGAGTGGGGTGTGAGCAGGTAAAAGGAAAAGGTGGAAGGATTTGAAAACAGAACCAGGCACAGTGACTAACACTTATGTACACGCACATGCATGTGCACACACACACACATGTATTATTAATTCTTCCTGCCTATGAGCCCAGAATAATTCACTCCATCCCACAGAGATGATGGCAACAATGACGACAAAGACACTTACTGTGCTCCAGGCACGAAACAACATGCTGCAAGGGAACAGGCCCACAAGGATTCATAAACTTCTCCTTGCTGGACATTGATGGGCTCGGGATTTGAACACAGATTCATCTGGCCCAAAAGCCCAGAATTGCCACACCATCATCTCTAGTAGAGTGCTGTCTCCTCTGAACTTAACTGAACACAACAAAGTGACCTCTCAAGTTGGTACCTCATTCACCCAAACATGTTCTTTCACCCCAACCTGTCTGCAGGAGCCAGGCCCATCCTCTTCCGCATGCAAGCTCCCAGCGGTCAGGCAAAACTGAGCACAGACCAGGCACTGTGTGAAGGAACAACAGGCTCTGCAGTCATGGGGCCCGGTTCTCTCTCCTTCTTGCCAAAATGACAAGGCTAGTTGCTCCCTGTTCAGGCTCCCCGAGTCATGCCCTCAAAAAAATGTCAGGAAGAGCACTGCTAACCTATTTCCTGGCTACCACACAGCTTAGGAAAAACTCACCTCTGAACCCCTAACAAGAAAGAGAAAGATGTACGGCTTTTAATTCCAGCCGCTGAAAGTTATGATTCTGGATATTCTTTCCCTTGCTTCATCAAGTTCCTCTCAGTTTTCATGGCTCTTGTTTTAAGAGGTAAAGATTAGTCATAGAATCTGTGGATAACAGATCTATTGAGCTTAGTGCTGACCCCTTCCCAAGGTCGTAGGGCAAGCTAGGGGCAGAGCTGGGACAGAAGCCAGTCCCCAGTACTTGCTACCACCACCACTCCCCAGCGGCCTGCTCAAAGGGCCTGGGGCTCTGGGGAAGAGTGACTACAAATTCAAGCTCTGGTTGCCTCCAGAAAGAAGGGTCAGGTCAAAGGTTAGGTCCCAGGAGAGCACTCAGTCCCTCCCCGAATCACACAGTACTCCAGGCAGGCCCTAGATGCTCAAAACCAAAGCCACAACCCAAAGCTGAGGAAATTTTCTAGGGTTAACTGGCCCGCAGATCACCTGGTGAAACTGCTGGGATAGCTATTTTGTCCCATTGCCCTAACTCACCAAGAGAGGGCACCCTGAACCAAACGGCCTAACTTAGCCGGTACAACCAAAAATAGCTAAAAACCATACCCACGGGGTAGTCAGGTTGGAGTTTAGCCGAGTCCCTCCTTTGCCATTCGCCAGCTCCTGCTACAGTCGGCCAGGAAAATTTAAGGCACTTTTTTGAGGTAGCAGGTGGTCTGGCCGGGGTGGGATTGGGGAACCTTCCTAGAAGGCAAGGTCCAGACACCAGTGCCCCATCAGAGCCGCCCCAAGAGCTGCCCACCAGATTTGCCCATCTACTCTTTTGTACTTGTGTACCCATCTACTCGTGTCCATGCGCTCCAGGAAGCCTCTCACCCTTTTAGTGCGGCTACCGCGTTGTGGACACCCTTCTCTGGCTCCCACGTCCCGCGCTCCCAACCGAGGGACCGCAGCTGCGACCGCCCTTCCCTCGCCTCCCAGGAACCAACCCCCCGTGGCACTGCGGCCAGGTGTCGCCTCCATCCTGCGCCCAGGCCCCGAGCCGGTCCTCAGCACCTCTCTGACCTGGCCCGCGGCTTCGGAAAGCGGCCCGGGTTCCCGGTCCTCCGCGCAGCCTCACCGCCACCCCCACCCGGTGACCCCGGGCCAGGGAGGCGCGCCGTTCGTCCGCGCGCTGCCGGGTTCTCGGAGCCGCGCGGTCCGCCACACGCCCTGCGCCCTCACCTGAAACTCGGCGGACTCCCTGGGTCCGCACGGCCCCACCGGCCAGGCCCCCAGCGAAGGCAGCCGCAGCGGTGGCTCGATCGGTGCGTCCGCGCAAGAGGCCCGCGTGCCCGCGCCCCCCGGCCTGCGTCCGTCCCCGCCACGGCGCGCATGCCCCGCTATATACCCTGCGCGTCACGGCGGCCCCGCCCCGCCCCGCCCCCGCCCCGCGCTCCCAGCGGCGGGCGCTCCGGGGGCTGCCACGTGGGGCCCCGCCGGCCGGCAGGTCTGGGCGACGTGCGTGAGCGCCACCAGCCGCCGCTTGGCAGGCCCAGGGCCTGGGGGGCGGCCAGCCGATGCCCTGGCTCACAGCCTGGCCCCGCCGGCTTCATCTTCCAACCCTTCCCCACAGGGCCCTCCTTCCTCTGCAACTCCCCATTAATACCTTTTTCCCTCAAGTGAGACGCTTTCACAACCCGGCCTCCACCCCCTCGGCGTTAGACGGCCACTCACATGATAATGTATGTATTTTAACCCTTCTTACTAACGCAAAATCTGCTCTCCCCTGCCCAACTCAGTTCCGAAATGAAGGGGACGTACCATAGACGATGTTTCTTATGCTTATTTCCAGCAGCCAAAAGAACAAAAATTTCCTCTTCAAGTTCCAAATAAGTTATATAGTGATTTTTCGCACTAGATGTCTCACTAATTCCCCAAATTGATCAGGCCCTCCAAGGAGCCATACTAAACCCAAAGCAGAGAGATGTTAATTCTTGTTGGAATTGAGGAGTGTCCTAGGAGTCTCTTCTGCTGTGGGATAGTTCTGTTGAGATGGATATCAGGCCTCGGAAATGCAAATTGCTTGAGAAAATAAACCACCTGCTAAACTCCCATTGTTCTGTTCTGCTGGCCATCAGGATTATTTCCTCTACAGCTAAACCAGTTGCCACCTGGGTCTCAAAAGGATAGGCCTTCTGACAGAACTGTGGCCACTTAGTACCCCTGTTCCTGTTCTAGCTCAAGGACTGGTGCCCACCTGGCACTGTCTTAGTTTGCACACGGAAGGGAATCTACATCCCACTCAGCAAGTCCTAAGGAGAGGAGCCCCCATGCTGGCAGTACTCATGACAAGAAGGCAGACAATCCCTGGAGCAAGTGGCAGGAAGAATCCACAGCTCAGTGGCAGCTTGTTCCCAAGCACTGGGTGGAGGGGGAAAAAGAAAACACTGAAGCAAAGCCAGAGCAGGCCAGAGAGTTTATGCCACTCCTAAAGTGATTCGCTGGGCCCTGGGTTTTGCTGAAGTTTCAGTCTCCTCACCCTGTAATTACAGTGCTCCCGTTGGAGGAGGGGTGGGGTGACTTTTCAAGTGATTTCAAAGTAATGGTGTCCCTTGCGGAATTTCCCTCACAGTTCCTTCATTTCTGTAATAACCCTTTATATTTGTATTTCTTGGTTAAACTTGTATTTTTCAGACATTAAGTCATCCACTGGGACTCAATCTCATCTCCAGTGGGCTGTCAGAAACAGTCCAGTCTGTACCACTCCTTCCTTGCCTTGAAGTTCTGGAAAAGGAATGAGAAACTCAGAGGTTTAGTAAAAAGCAAGCATGGCTCTAACACACACAGCTCTGAAAACTATGAAGCCCATAAGCACATATTACAAAGGGGTGTTGATCCCTTCTTAAAACTGAGTTCCAAAAGCAATCCCACAGCTCTTCTAGACAAAGTCTCAGTAGTGCTCATGGGAATAAGGCACCTGACAGAGACTGGAAGGGAGGCAGGACAAAACACCCCACCACAGGACCTATCACAGCTTTGCAACCAGAGGAGGGTAGAGCTGCCAAAGTCCACCAAAGCTGATAAGCTATCAGCAACCCATTGGGGAACACAATTAACTATTAACACAGCTTAAAATCAAAAGGTCTTCACTTCACTCTCCACACCCAACCGCACACACGCTTTAGGTATGGCTGACTGCTGCCTCGTCACTGAGCAGTACTCAGCCTTTTCAGCCTAGTGCCACATTTGGGGCCCCAATTCCACCTCTCTCTCTCACTACCTAATTACGCCTTTTTTAACTCTTACTGTTAGGCAGGAAAATAGGTATGAGCGGGGTGGAAAGAGAATAAGGCAACTAAGCCCACTAGAAGGGACTCAAAGAGTTAACCAGTTAGAAATAAAACGCTGGAAGGCCAGGAGCAACTTGGCTTAGAAGTTTGAATACTCCCCAGGTGAAGAAAAGTATCTCAGCATAGCCTATGTTTTCATTGTGTCAATTAGAATATACCATTGTAAGATTTACTTTAGCTTGCTCAAAGGCCCAGCTTATTTAGGTAGAATTCTGTCTTAAAGCTAAGATTGCATTTTAATCAAAAGGACAGTGGCTCAGCCCACCTTGGAGGCAGGGCAGAGTCTTGATTGATATGTTTCCAGACGGAAGCTGATATCCTGGAAAGAAATCAAAGCAGCATATTCCTTGTGTTAAGTTAAAAAAAAGAAACTTAATGTCTTATCAAAAATGAACATTCTGGGACAATGTGGCCGGTCCGCACCTGGCCCTTTGTAGCTTTCCTGAAAATCCTCAACCGCCTATAAAACCCCAGACCTTAAGCCTTTCAGTGCGCTCCTGTCTCTGAGGTCGCCCGCACTTTCTAAGTGCATAGCCTTAAAATTTTATCTCAACCTTTTAGCACACCTCTTCTACGAGGTAGCTCACACTCCCCTTTCTCCAAGTGTGCACTTGCTCTCTTTAAATGAAGCTTAAACCTTTCGGGGCGTTCATCTCTCTGATGTTGCCTGTACTTTTTCTCTTTAAATAACACTTTTACTCTGCTTCACTGTCTCTGCCCTTCAATTCTTTGTTGCCGCTGGGAATATACAATGCTCCCCCAACATTACTACCCCATTTCTCCTTGTCAGAATTCTAACTCTTTAAAGCCACCTCGCTTCAGTAAGTTTCCTGATTCTTCTCATGGATGTTTGAACCTTTCAAACCTTTTTTAACAGTACCCACATTAAAAAATATTTCACACTGCAACTCCAGTATAAATAATATGGCAAACAAAAATTTAACTCATTGTAAGAGTTCCTTAGTACATGCAATGTACTCATATTTTATATTTCAATTTTTTAAAAATAATAAACCTGCTAAATTGATTTCATGACCCCTTATTGGGTCATGACCCACAGAATTAAAAACATTTAAGTGGTTTGTGATTCTTGCATTTTCTCCATTAAAATTATTTCACTTCTGTCTTTAACCTCATTAGACCTTAGTCTGTCTTGGTTATCCAAGATTTTTGTATGTACTCTCATCTCCTAAGACATCTTGCACGTAACAGATTCTTGGTTAAGTATTTGTTGGATGAATAAATAGGCCAGCTCACTAAAAATTGTTGGCAATGTCTAAGGGAGCTAAGCCCAAAAATCTGACATTTTTGCCATTGTTATTTCCCTTCTGACAAGATACCACAGCACCTGCCAAAAGCTATGCAGATTTCTAGCAGCATGAGTGGGACAGCCTTGGAAAAGGAGCTAGAGAAATGAGACCCAGCCCTGTGTGTCTAGGGTGGGATGCAGACTCAGGCAATCCAAGCCCTTCTGAGGTTTGTGTTGATCAGGCAGGCAACCTGGTTAGCAGGGGTGGGGTGGGGCACAAAGATCTTGTTCTATTCCACAGCTCTCAGGCCAGCTTGAGACAGACCGAAGAGAAGAAACCAATGGCCATGTTTCTACGATACTCCGAAAGAGAAAAATGAGCTTTCTGTTTTGTCATGGCTTAATGAACGTTAAGAGGATCAGAGGAAATAATGTGAAGGTTCTAGTTACCCAGAGTCCCTATCAGAGGACTAGCATCCCACACTGTCAGCCAAAGAGAAGACCTCTAGAAGCCTCTATCATTTGTTATCATCTGATGGTTTCAGTAGACAAAAAGACTATTGGTAAACATAACACTCGGCTCAGTATCAAGTTATCTGTAGGAATTTTTCCATTTCATAAAAGATCTCTAAATTGTAGGCATATAATTGTTCATTGTATTCTCTTATAACCCTTTTTATTTCTGTAAGGTCAATATGCCCCTCTTTTATTCCTGATTTTAGTAATTTAGTCATTTTTTTTCTTGGCCAATGTGGGTTTGTCCATTTTGTTAATCTTTTCAAAGAACCAAACCCTTGGTTTTGTTGATTTTCATTAATTTCTCTATGTCATTAATTTCTGCTCTGAACTGTATTAGAAAATACCATTTTTGTCTTTGCCTTTGAATGAATGGTTTAATTGGGAACAGAATTCCAAAGTGACATTGCATTTTTAAGTTATTCCTTTTGTCTTAATTATCTGTGGTGACTGATGACAAGTCTTCAGCTAATTTGACCTTTCTTTGTAAGCAATCTCTTTCACCTCTGGTTGTTTTTAAGAATCTGTCTTTGGTATTTTTGTAGCTTCACTACAGTACATATAGCGGTGTATGTACTTTTATTATCAAAGAGTTTTCTTCAGTTACATGATTCATATTTGTCTCTAATTCTGGAAAATTCTATTTTCCATATTGTATCACTCATTCTATCTTAATCTGCAGGAACTCCTATTAGACAAATTTCAGAGCTTCTCATTCTCCCTTCTCTCTTTTCCCATGTGTACCTATCTGTGTTGCAATCCAATTGACTTCTCATTTGGTTCTGCAGGGCTCAGGATTCTCCCAGTCTGGACTAGTCTTCATAGTAACTTTTCAGCTTGTTGTCCTTCCATACGCTAGTAATAGAAATCCAGTCTACACATACCTGGTAGTGGACCAGGTTTGGGGATTTCTTGTGAATGCATTTTCATCCTTAAGTTTCCTTGCTACTGTCCACCAATGGGTGCAAGGAGTCTCTACTCCCCTTCCAGGCTCCAGCTCTCTCCATCCAGGAGACTTCACTTGCAACCCTGCATCTCACAGGGTCTGAGGCTGCATGTTCTGTCCTCACCAGTAGTGAAAAACCTTGGTCCACAGGCCCCTGGATTTTGTCCACAACCCTGGAAGCTGTGTTGGCATCAACTGTTACCACTCTGGATTCTTATACCTAGAGACATTCCTTCCCCCTTCCCAATCCCCTCCTCACTCATTCCATTTCCCCCAAATTCAGCTCCTTAACAAAAAAATTTTTTTCTTCCTATTCTGGCCAACATTTGTCAGTATGGTCAACTCAGTGTGCCATGTTGCTAAAAGTCTCCCTTGTTTACTCATTTAAAAAAATTAATTTATTTTTTAGAGCAGTTTTAGATTAGGTTCAAAGCAAAATTGAGTGGAGGTAGAGATTTCCCATATACACACAGCCTGCCCCACTATCAACATTCCCAACAAGAATGGTTCATGTGTTACAACTGATGAACGTACATTAACACATCAAATCACTCAAAGTCCATAGTTTACATTAGGGCTCATGCATAGTGTTTCACATTCTGTGGGTTTGGACAAATGTATAACATGTTACAATGTATAATATATAATATACATGCATAATGACCATTACAATACGAAATCATTTCCTTACTCTAAAAATCCTCTGTGCTCTGCCTATTCATTTCTTCCAACCCCTGATCTTTTTACTGTCTTCATTGCTTTTGCTTTTTCCAGAATGTCACATAGTTGGAATCACACAGTATGTAGTCTTTTCAGATTGGTGTCTTTCACTTAGTAATACACATTTAAGGCTCCTTCATGTCTTTCTGTGGCTTGACAGCTTTTTAATTGCTGAATATATATTCCATTGTGTGGGTGGACCAGTTTTATCTCTTCACCTACTGAAGGACATCTTGGTTGCTTCCAAGTTTTTACAATTATGGGGCAGACCTACTATAAACATGTGTTCAGGTTTTTTTGTGGAGATAAGTTTTTCAGTTCATTTGGGCAAATACCAGGGAGCATGATTGCAAGATCGTATGGTAGGACTATGTTCAGTTTTGTAAGAAACTGCCAGACTGTCTTCCAAAGTGGCTGTGCCATTTGCATTCCCACCCGCAACAAATGAGTTCCTGTGGCTCCATATCCTCATCAGCATTTGGTATTGTCATTGTTCTGCATTTTGGCCATTCTCATAAGTATATAATTGTATCTCATTTTAATTTGTAATTTTTTAATTACATGTAATGTTGAGCATCTTTTCTTATGCTTATTTGCAATCTGTATATGTTCTTTGGTGAGATGTCTGTTCAGATCTTACTGTCCAATTTTTAATCAGATTGTTTTCTTACTGTTGAGTTTTAAGAGTCCTTTGGGTATTTCAGATACTAGTCCTTCATCAGATAAATCATTACCAAATATTTTCTCCCTGTCTGTGGCTTGTTTTCTCATTCTCTTGATTTTCCTTAGTTTTGTAAAGAAACTAAGTCCAAAGAGGAAAGGTTACTAAGAAATTGGGATAAAGCTCGGTAATATAACCAATAGGAGAAAGTAGGGTCTTTTCCGGTAATTCCAAATCACTGAGAAATTTCAGGCACAAATTTTACATTTATAAAACTTCTTCCTTTCACACACCATCTAATAAAATGATGAACAAGTAAAAAGGGCCTTGTAACACTCTACAGAAGTTAAGTTCTTTTTAGAATGAGCTCAAGAAACACTGCATCATTTAAGAATGGAGTTTCTAAATATAAATAGAAAGGAATGTAGTGGTGAAGCAGGAAGCCAAGGTGCCTCACAAAGGTATATTTAAGGGTTATAGGCACTATGGAGTATATGCAAAGAGAGCACAAGCATTAGAAAAAGAGGGGAAAGGTCACCCGTGAGAGCTGGAAATTAATGAGAAAAGAAATTTAAAGAACAAAATGCACATACACACACACAAGCCTCATTTGTCCCAGAAGTAAGACTGTTAGTGTCTTTTCCAAGAAATCTTACTGTCCGGACACAGTGAAATTACCTGGCTACTAATATTAGAGATGCACCTCACATGCTGAATAATAAATAAATAATTCTAACATGCTGTAGCTTTATGAGGAAAATAAATATATCAATTTATCAATCACAATAATTCAAACACAACTACACATTTATAGAAATTTGTTTGTATTTATTTTCTACCCCATGACCCAATCATTTCACATGCAGTCTGAGAAACAAGACAAGAAAACCAGGAATAAAAAGTAATTTTTTGTATTTGACTTTTCTGATTATATAAGAGAAAATGAGTATTAGGAAATTCAAAGAGAAATTCTTTTCAGAAGAGAGTAAGAAAACTGATCTTTAAGCCACAGATCAGTGATCCAAACTGTTTGATTCAGTAGATTCCAGGTTGCAGCCTTACCCTTCCTCCCAGAGGTGCCCTGGAGTTCCAACTTGCGGCCCCTTAGCCTCTGCTGATGCTGCAGCAAACCAAAAACGTAATGGTTTTCTTCTAAGGAGTTTTAAGCTACAGTTTCTCTTCTCACACAATCATATAAAATGGGCATTTCTGATTGTCCCCTCCTTGCCATCACATAAAAAATAAATATACATTTGAAAAGATTAAACAAAACTGGCATTTAAAACCCAGGTAAAACAAGGTAAGACTGAATTAACCCTGATGGGACTAAAAGATTTTAAAATGGAGAAAAAAATCAACACAAAAAACAGCATTTTCCCAAAACACTAAAACCCATGGGCACAGTGACAACTTTCTAGACTGAAATGTCTGGACTTTGGCAGGACCGTCACGTGTTCCAAAGCAGACTTCAGGAAATCTTAACCTAGATTCAGAAAAATTCCTAACAAAATGAGCCAGCAGCCAGGAATAGGTTATTGAGCAAGGGAAATGACTGATTCAATTTATAAGTATCTATCAACACCTGTGAGAAAGGTGAAGAAAAACACTCTCCATCATGAACCTTCCTAGCTGCTGAATGTCATGTACTCTTGATTCTTAATTTAAAAACTGAAACTTACTAAATATCAGTAACAAAAGAGCAAAGGGGTGTGTGTTGAGGGGGAAATAGGAAGAAATCAGCATGGTATACTGTAAGGCAACTGAAACATAGAGGACAAACTTTACTGGGCCTCTCTCAGGAAGCCAAGGACTGTAAGGGCCCCTTTCAGAGGTTCAAAGCCAGCTCAGGTCACAGGTGTCACACACTCCATCCCTGGAGAAGATCAGGTCAGCAAGGGCCTGAGTGCCACCAGCTGGGTTTGATGCATGCCTTTCACACTGCCAACAAAAGCAGTATCTTAAAAACCTTTGCCTCATGGGCCTTTTACCTTTCCCAGTTGCCCAGATAAAGTTAACTGTCCACTTGCAGAAACTTGCCATGACTTTATTCATTATCACCTCTGGAGCCAAAAGTGGGAAATGCTTACTTAGTAAGCAAGGCTTAAGGGTGTAATTGCTGCCCCTGCAGGTTTCTACAGCTCACACTGACTTTAGCAGCTCTTAAGTTTCCTGGTATTCACCCTCGCCATCAGCAGAGCAGCAGTGTTGCCATTGCTCTACAAAGGCAACAGCTAGCTGAAGCTTAGAATGGAAAAATGTCTCAGTGATACCAGGTTTAAAAGTGAAAAAAAAAAAAAAAAAGAAAGAAAAGGCTATCTTATCCTACTGGGTTGGCGAAAGGAAAACACCAACACAAAACCCCCTTGGGTCTCATCCTGCACAAGTCACAGTAGAGTTCGGGAGTCAAATTCCTCTAAGCAGCAATATCCTAGATGTCCAGTCACAGGAAGAACAGGTTCTCGCACAGCTGGATGGCTGGTTCATGATGCAGTATCTGTCCAGACAGGAAAGCTAGCTTGTGGGCATACTTGCAAGGAGCTGGAACTCTGATGGTACCAGGCCAATTCCAGTACATGTGGCACAGTTTGAAAGTCAACCTGTGGACCAAAAAGAAAACATGACCCTCATCCTTCTCTGCCTTCCACTGGGACATGGTTATACACTTGTGGACATATGCCACACATACTTTCCCAGAGGCCGGACGAATACATGATGAGTCTTTTTGGAATCATGATGTTTAAGTGGAATTGTTTGTATTTCCACTCTTGGTAAGTCAAGAAGACATGGGTAAATTGTCTCACTTGTGGAGCCCCCGTCTTTGTATCGAAACAAGGAGAACATACTTTACCCTCAAGAATAGACTGCAGCAGGGTGAGCAGTCCAGCAAGTATTTATATAATCTGAGCTCAAGGGCATTTGGTCTCAAACGTGGCTGTATGTCATAATCATCCAGACCAGCTTTAAATTCAAATGCCTCAGAATGCTTTGGGGTGAAGCCTGGGCATCAGTATTTTAAAAACTCTTCAAGTAATTTTAATGTACCAGAACTACCAAACACTCCTCAAAAAACACTCCTCATCACTGTGAAAGACATGAAGCAACTCCAGGGATGGACAGTGACCCCACCTTAGCTGCCTGTACAGAACTGCTTAGTGAGAATTACTTGTAAGTTACTGGTCAGCTCACCTCTGCATATGATCAGGGCTCAGGTTTGCAGTGTTGAGAACACACACGTAATGGGTAGGAATGCCACAACCCTGCCATACATGATGGGCAAGAAGGTAGAAGTCCACCCTAGGGAGGAAAAAGGCCAAAGTAATCATATAGTCGAATCTGGCCACACAAAACTGGAAAAGATTTTGGCGATCATTCTAGCTCCTTCACCCAAGACTCAGAGAGATCAAATGTCTAGGTCAAGGACATACAGGGACAAAACCATGATTACAACTCGGGTCTGCTGACTCCAAAGGCTATTTAAGAATAGTAGTAGAAACTACCATATCTGTGTACAGGTTTAGCATGCCCAGTTTCAGGAAAAGAATGCATGGCCAACATTTTATACTTAAGAGGTAAAAGCTTTATTGATTGTTAATAGTTTTTTAAAACTTTATTTTATAACAGTGAAATTTCTGAGCATCCTAATCCACGTCTCCAGGCACCACCACCCCCACCCAACGATTCCAATACCCGGGGAATAGATAACTTCTCTATTCTATTCTTGCTGAACCACCATGTTTTGCCCACTTACCACTCACAGCTTGTTATTGTATGATCTACCACAGTTCCAGGGGAGGGAGTCACAAAGTGCTCAGTAGCAGCCAGGTACAGATTGGCGCTGATTTTCTTCTGAACAACAAATACCACCATCTTGGGGTGATAATTCTCAAAAACTTCAAAACACTTCTGTAGCTGAGGGATCTCATAGTTGGCAACTGTCTTTAGTTGGCCATCAGACACTCCATCTCGATACACCACAATCTTCTCTGGGAGACAGTGGTTCACCTGAAATGACACCCTACTGAGGTGAGTGTGGGGCCCTGAGGCAAATGACCACAGACAGTGAGAAGCTCACTTAGAGCACAACCTGGAATCACAGCAATAGATCCCTTTGACAGCTGGGCCCAAAGCCACCATATAGGAAGGACAGAGGAAAAAGCCTCTGGTCACTTCAAGACCTCCTCAAGTTAGTGAAACACAGCACTAAAACAGGCCAAAGATGTTATAAAATATGAAAGCAAAATAAACAAGCTATGAATCACATACATAATGGCTTATACTGTGAACCAAGTTAAAAGGAACGGTAGGGAAATTATAGGTTGAATCAACCTTCCTCATACTTGGATTTAACACTAATTGCTGTCCAGACAAAGAACAAGGTGAACTGTTAGTCCACCTTTTCTGGTGGAGCATTTAGTTTCCTCCTGCCTTCAAGAGAGGAGTCTGGTGGTGCCATAATTGAGGTTTCTATCAACCTCACTACTATTGACAGGTGGGGCTGGATGACTGTTATGAGGAGCTGACTCTATAGGATGCTGACCAGCATTCTTGGACTCTACCCACAAGACGCAAGTAGCAACCTCCCCCAGCAATAGTCACAAATGTCTCTAGACACTCCCCTCCAGAAGGAGAAACCGCCCCCAGCTGAGTACCACTGCACTAACCAAAGGACACAGAGATGATTCAAGCCAGCCAACAGAGCTCCTCCCTCTCTCTCAATCTCCAGCAGAGCATGAAAAACATGTTGCACTTAGTCCTCTGTGGTGGTGCCTTGTCAGGTCTCTGCTTCTGGAACTCCAACTACACTGGTTCCTGTCCATTTTCCAGCTTGATGCTCAATCTTCTCAAAATTCCTCTGAGACTCTCCATGATCTTACCAATAAATTCCAATTTTGCTCATGTCAGCACATTTCTGTGATTTCCCAAGAACCCCTAACTGATAGACTGAACCACAAGTTACCACGTAGGTAGCACAGGGTCCTACATATGGAAGAAACACTCCTTTCATTGAGGAAACAGGAAGTACACTGGATCTGGGGTCAGGAGGCCTGGGCAAGAGGTTGATCTTGGCTATGATCTTGAAGACTCAGTTTCCTCAGTTAAAAAATGGCAATAAATGGGTGAAGCCAACATGGCGGCGTGAGTAGAACAGTGGGAATCTCCTCCCAAAAACATATATATATTTTTGAAAATACAACAAATACAACTAATCCTAAAAGAGAGACCAGAAGACACAGGACAACAGCCAGACTACATCCACACCTGCAAGAGCCCAGCGCCTGGTGAAAGGGGTAAGATATAAGCCGCAGCCCGGTGGGACTCGAGGCCCCCCATCCCAGCTCCCAGCGGGAGGAGAGGAGTTGGAGCAGGGAGGGAGAGGGAGCCCAGGACTGCTAAACACCCAGCCATCCACACCAGAGTGCAGATACAGTGCATGCGTGGGGTCCTGGATACTAGGGAAACAGGGCAGCAGGACCAGTGAGCGGGTCCCGAAGCTGATGCCCCTGTGACAAAGAAAAGCGAGTGCTTTTTGAAAGTCTTAAAGGGACAGGGACGCAACAGCTGGACGGAAACAACACAGGTCACAGTCCAGCAGCTGGAAATTACAGGGAAAACCGGGCACACTAACCCCCTGGGCAACAGCTCTGAGACCCCTCACAGAGGTAAACAGCCAAACAGCCCCCCGTCCATTACCCCTCTGGGCGCTGCAAAAGCAGAGAAGCAGCCTAAGGCTGGCCACGCGCTCAGAAAGGGCACTTCCTACATACCGGCTGGGCAAGACACAAAGACCCAGTCTACACGCAATC